AGAAAAAAAAAGGCAAAAGCAAAAGCAGGGGAATTGGTGATATCATTTGTGGAAAAAGGCTATGATATGATATGTATGTAGTGGGAAGGAATTCCAATAATTGAAGAGCCCACCATTTTTAATCTCTCTCTCTTTTTCTTTTTCTTTTTTGGTCCATAGCATTTACATACTATTTTTTTTAAAAGAAATTTGGTTTAAATATTATTTTGATGCTATATTTCATTTACAAATGCCTATTTTTCTCCATACTTTTAATTTTTTCTTTTCTTTTAGTTATTGTACTTTTAGAAAATTACCCTTTTAATATCTTCATTTTTCAATTTTGTTTCATTTCTTTTTATGCAATACTTCGTTCACTAAACTGTTATAGTAGATTTGCATTAAAAATTTTACCAATTGCAATTAAATTGGATAGTTTCAAAAGTATAGAGACAAAAACGGATGTTCTAAAAGTATAAGGATTAAAATGAACTAAAGTTAAAAGTAGAAATAGATCATAATAGTATTTAAGTCAATAAATTTTAAACATGATTTTGAGGCTCATATATGTTACTAATCTACTTTCCTATTCAGTCTTGTACCTTTGAAATATTTAATTTAATTTGTTCTTTTTTTAATTTAATTTTGTTCTTGAGGTTACGGTAAAACCCTCGACTGTGTTTTAAAGATCGTTGGTAATTTTTAATTTTAGAATTTATTTTATTTTTTTGATTCAAATCTAGAGTGGTGTTTGTAAGTTGAAAGTTGTAACAACCAAATTAATAAGATAAATTTCAAAATTTAGGTATATTTGTCAACGGAATGGTCTCTTTTAAGGGAAAGAGACTTTACTAAGCAAAAAATAAAATAAAAACTTCTTTCTAAGAGATGATTTATCTAGAAGAATTATTTCTCTGAGTGAAAGTATTACATTCTATCATTAATGAGATTGCATCATTATTAAGTTCACAAAGTTATGAACTAGTGGTTGAAATAGTTAAATATTGTTGGAGGTCATTTATTGCTGCCACGTGTCAGCATCTAAGAAGATAGTTCCATGAAAAACCTACAAATTATGTGCCGTATTTTTTGGAGTGTCGAAGAGCTATTAGAATGCTGTCGGAAGTCAGAACTCTTCTCTATAAATAGAGATCTTAGTCTCCCTTACAAGTTATCCGAACTTACTTTCACTCTGAGTATTAGATCGGATTGAGACTGACTTACTCGTCATAGTACTAACTTCGTCTTGCAGGTGCCTCGGACGTTAGCTTCTCTTTTCCGAGCTTCGCGGATTCTGACATCGATTGATTTTTGGATCAAACAAATATTAGGTAAAAAAAAAAACTCAAAATAATGTGATTACAACCAGAATTAATTAATTGATAAAATTCATGTGAGTACTTCTACGTTGAATGGGCCGAATATTAAATCGGCCCAGCCTTGATTCGATGTCCCGAAACCCGACCCAAAGTTCTTCCCGCCCCACCTTTTCCGGAAGAAGTGGCTTTTCTTCTAAGCAATTTTGGAGAGGGAATCGTTTGAAAAATTCGCAATACTGGCTGATCGGAGTTTCGCGATTTCTTCATCGGAGATGCTGGTGACTGGTGAGTGCTTAATCAATTCGATTTCGGCCCTCTCCCTCTATGCATTTTCCATACAAAAACATAGAGAAGAAACATTTTGATGAGTTTTTTGGATCGCAAACCAAGTATTAGCATCCATTTAGCAAGTTGAATTGGTGATGCGTTTTTCTGACTTACTGGAAATCATAGCTTACTTACACTTCTTGAACTGTATTGACTCTCTATATTTTCCATAGTAGTTCTTATGTTCCTGTCAGGATACTGAAGATTTTATTGTTTAATTTTCTCTGTTCTAGTCGAAGAAGGTGGTGGGAACTGAAGGGCCATCTTTTAGGTTGAACTTTTCTAGAATTCATTGAAGTATATTTCTTCATTTAAATCAATAGAACTTCTTTTTCAGTTTAATAAAATTCTGGACTAATTTTTTGTTCCTCTCTCTTAGTTTACAACTACATATCATTGTTTTTAGCCAAAATAGACAAAAATAGTCCATAATCTTTTAGCAAATTCTTAAATTTGTCATTTATCTTTTAAAATTCTCAATTTTATATCTAGCGTACTAATAATTCTATTTATTTTGTATAAAAAGTGTAGAAATAAAAAAAATGATTTATTATTAAATCATTGTTTTATTAACGTATTTGAACGAAATTCCACTCATATATTACTTGATACATAAATTCAACCCATCCATCAGCAAAATCCATTCTTCCCAGTAGTATCACTATGTGTTCAAATGTGTCAATAAAACAATAATTTAATGGTACATAAATTATTTTTAAATAAAATTTAATAATAATTTAATGATACATAATTAAGGACGAAATTTGAAAATTACCTGAAAGCTTACAGGCCATTTTTCTTATACCATGCTTCCTCATATGCAATGTGTATTTTACCAATTTCTCTTTGTTTGCTTCATCAGTTTATTTTTTTTTTCAACGCTTAAAATTATAGCAAGTGTATGGCTTTTGTACCTAAAGCGATGTTAAGATTCTTATAAAAAAATGTTAAGATTAATGTCATTGAATTAAACATATGTCAAGGTATTGATAGTAGTGTAGGGGCTTGGTTTGAGATTGATGTTATTTAGATGGGTTCCTTTTGATTTGTATTCTACATAATAATGTATAATTGCATGACCTCCTATTTAAGTGCAAAGGAAATCAATTTATGAGCCATTTATCTTTCTCTTCTGTTTTGTATAATGTTTATTTAACCATTTTTCCTTTTTGCATTACGAATGTGGTTCTTTCAGTTTGAAACTTATGAACCATTCTTATTTCAACCTATCATTTGGTAGGTGGAGCTTGGTAGTTGTTTCTAGGGAAGGAATTAAATAATTCCTTTTCAACTTTCTCATTGGCATTTCATTTCGGCTGTGGGATGGTAAAGAATTTGAATTGCAGGCTGATATGGACGGCCTTGTGGAGGACGGGTCTTTTGATGACAACGTTGGCTTTTCTTCATCCCATGATGGTGCAGACCCTAGAGATCCTGTAGGCCACAGTACGGATGACAGAAAAGGTGCAGTAAATGCTATACTTTGCTTTCTCCTTATTCATATTCTTGTTTTTTAGATTGCCAGTAAGTGAATGAATATTTGAGAGCAGCAAGTGCCATTCTGTATTCTGCCAGTGGAACGTAACGTACTAAATTTATGCTGCATGTGCTCTTTGTTGCACCTTCCTTGATTAAAATGATCTTACTTTCATCATATCCTCTATGGTTTCTGGATCTTTATCATTCGACTTACGGTGAAGACTAAAAGGTGAAGTGATGCAGGATTTAGAATTTAGAAGTGAAAGGAGGGATTTGTCATGGCCTTAATGAGGCATGTGTTGGGATAATGGAGCCTAAACAGGAGATTCATGTCCTACGAGAAAAAAGATTTTCAACACTATTGCGAATTCCTACAAAGATTAAGATATTGCTTCTTATAAAGTTTAAGATATTGCTTCCTATAAATATAGCTCTTTTGTCAAAGTTTTATCTAATACAAATTCCAAAATAGAATTATTGAGGGTATTTTAATTGTATGATCCTAGATAGCCAATGTTGAGTACTTAAAAACAAGGTAGTCATTGTGGTGATATCTTAAGTGAGAGGTCAATTGTAATCTTCTCAAATATAGAACCTACTTTTGTAGAAAACTGGATGTAGTCTCAAGATTGGGACAAATTAGTATAATTTTTATTGTCTAGCTTTTTCTATCCATATCTCTCGTTCATTTTATTATTGTTACTTATCTATTTGCTTTTAACCTGCTGAGGGAAAATTAAATGTCCTGTTTGCAGAATCTACAAAAGGATCAATTGGTCTGTACTTTCTTTCCCAACAGCATGGATTCTTTTTGTATACTGCATATACTATTGATCCTGCTATAAATATCATTTAGGATAGTTACAACCTATGTATAAAGTTGCTTTTGTAAGTTATCCCTAAGGAGTGCTTTTATTGTACCTTCAGGAATCACATTTACGGAAGTGAATTATGTTAGAGCAAGCCAAAACAAAATCACCTGTTGCCACTTTTCATCTGATGGAAAATTGCTTGCTAGTGGTGGCCATGATAAAATGGTGAGAACCCAATGATGATGACTTGTGTTGAAAAAATTCCGTCTTTGGTTGCAGCAGCGGTCAATGAATGCATGTATTTGAAGATTTTTTTTTCCTGTGGTTTCATGATGACGGTTGTGCAGGCTGTACTGTGGTACATGGAAAATTTGGAGCTGAAAACTTCACTTGAAGAACATGCTTCTCCGATCACTGATGTTCGTTTCAGTCCTAGCATTCCCCTCCTCGCGACACCATCATTCGACAGGAGAGTCCGGGTTTGGGATGCTGACAATGCTAGTTTTCTCTGTCTTTGATTTAACTCGAGTCTTTATCCTTAATTACTGGTCTTTCATCCTACAGATATTCTAGATAACCTCTGAAAATATGTGCTTATAAAGTATGGCTAAAGCTTATATCTTTGTCAAATTTTAAAAACTATTTTAAGTTGATCAAGTATATATTACCAATGAACTCTATCCATCGACCACCTATGGCTATCATCTCGTTTCATTAACATTCTTGTCTGACAGTAGAAACTAGGAGATTACATGGTTTAGTTTTGGCCTTAATATGGGAGAGTTGTTATAATAAAAGGGTGGAATTTTTATTCTAATCTATTCTTAATTTAGACTTTTAACTTCTACTAGAAATTATTTCATGATAACAAGAAGTTCTATAATATGTTGCTGTATCCCAATCAGTAGCCTTGTTATTCACTGCATACTTTTACAGGACATTCTGCTCCTGTTATGTCTTTGGACTTCCATCGAAAGAAGGATGGCCTTATCTGCTCCAGTGATAGTGACGAGGAGATTCGGTACTGGAGTTTCAACAATGGCAGCTGTGTAGGAGTATTCAAGGTATCTTTCTTTTTCATGGTTTATAAGTAGCTTGGCTCATCTTTTTTGCATGCTCTCTTGGTTGGAAAAATGGAAGTACTTGTTTAGGCTACAGTACCTAGATTCTTAATGGCGTGTGCAATTTAGGGTGGTACGGGCCAGATGAGATTTCAACCTTGTCTTGGAAGGTACCTCGCGCTGCTGCTGCAGATAATATTGTATCCATTTTTGACGTGGAGACTCAACAGTGTCCTCATTCGTTACGGGTTAGTTTATATCTGAAGTTTTGCCACCTGCCAAAGATATGCTGTTGTTTGTTCATGTGCATTATTCATCAGTATTCCATATTTAAGCTAGTTGAGTGCCAACCCTAGGGATCACATGCATTTTATTTTCAGCATTGGAGGTTCCTTTTGGCAGTTGTTAAAATAACACCTCTAGATAGATGTATGCATTTGTTTTGCTGCTCTTGGTTTGCAACAATTTCATTTCACTGTTTCCTATCCGATTTTTTTTTTTTAATCTTTTTTTTAATCTCTCTAAAATACGCCTTTTTGGTTCCATTATCTTATGTAGTTATGTAATTTCCTTCCCAATTCTGTTTTCATGTTTGTTTCTAGACTTGGCTGATTTTATGGTCCTGAAATTTCTTCTAGTGTCTTGCTTCATTCCAATGTGAGTTGTCTTTGACTTAACTTTTTGGTTGAAATGTATGCTTCTAACTACAGGGACATACCGAACTGGTTTATTCTATTTGCTGGATCCTTCTGGAGAGTTTCTTGCATCCATTAGCCAGGATTCTGTTCGAGTGTGGACGCTTGCTTCGGGGAATGAGGGTGAATCCATTTACAAGTTGAGCTGTAACAGAGATATGTTTCACCACTCTTGTATTTTCCATCCCACCTATTCTAATTTGCTGCTCATCGGATGTTATCAGGCAAGTCCTCCCATCCACACCCCCTCCCCCTAAAACAGAAGGAAGACCAAGAAAAACGTGTGTTTCATGTTCTAAAATAAAATAAACATAATTTCTCTTCGTAGTTTGTTACATTGTTGATTCGTTTGCGATGCACTTCGAATGATCAAACCTTATTCCCCCCTCATCTCCATGTTTGTCTTGACTGCTACAGTCGTTATAGCTTTGGAACATGACCGAGAACAAGACAATGACCCTGTCAGCTCACGAAGGTGTAATATCTGCCTTAGCGGCGTCCACAGTGTCGGGACTGGTCGCTTCGGCCAGCCACGACAAGTAGATCAAGCTATGAAGTAAAAGAAAAAAAGAAAGAGTAACTCACACACTAGTTGAATTAATAACACTAGTTTGTTTTGTTGTAGTTGTAGCTTTGTGGTCTGTTTCTAGACTTTATTTTATTTTATTTTATTTTGGGTTTTAGAATATCAAACTTGAGCTGCATATAATATGATAATAATGTATGTTGGAGTACTCCTTCCTGTTAGAATGTATTTTTGTGCTGCACTCAAATCTCAAAAAAAAAGAGGCAGAAAAAAGAAACAGTTCTCTGAAATGCCTCTGGCCTGGCCCCATTACTGAGATGAAGAATATGGCTTAAAGTTTACCAGAAAAAAGGAAAAAAAAAAGCAAAAGATAAAGTTGAGGGTTGGGGGAATGTGGGGATATAATTTTTGGAAAAAGGCCATGTAGTGTGAAGGAATTACAATAAATTGAAGAGTAGCTCCACACCCATCATTTTTTTCATCATTCAGTTTATCATCAATCAAATTTGATATTTATCAATGAAGAGAGATGAAATTTAAAAATATTAAAACATAAAAATCTAAATTGAAACTAACAACAGGAACCAATTTTTTTTTTTTTTTTTTTTAAATCCAAACATTTGAGACTAAGTCATATACGTAGCTTTTAAAATATTCGATTTTGTCATGAGGTTACATGAATATACATGAGCAGTTAAGATATTTGCTGCCATTTGTTGTACTATAAACAAATCCTTCCATTACAATGAATCAATGATTTTGCTAATTTTATATCTCAAAATGGTGAATTACTTATTGGAAAAGAGGGTAAAAGGGGTTCTCTTTCGCGCTCTATTGGTTTTCGAAAAACAGAGGTTAATCTCAAAATTTTCAAAACCCCTTTTCTGAAAAAGTGTCAATAATGTGATTATAACATTAAATTTTAATTCATTAATCAAATTAACCTGGGCAGTTAAATCTTAAATGGGCCAGAAGGGCCCAATAGTTCTTCCCGCCTCACCATCGTCCGACCGCCGCAGGGCGGAGATCTCCTGGAACAACCGGCTTCTCTTCCAAGCCAATTCTAGTGAGGGAATCAATTGAAAAATTCACAGCTATTGGCCGATTGGAGTTCCATTTCCAGGCGACATCGACCTTCTCCGGCCGACCGGTTTCGCCGATGCTCGGAAATCTGTGATTACTTCATCCGAGAACCTGGCTTCCGGCATTCCCTGGCGCATCAAACCATAACAGGTGTGCATAATCAATTCCCTCTCCCTTTATGTCTGTTTGATGAATTCCTCGAATCTTAATCCGAGTGTTAGGTTAGCATCCATTTTAGCCAATTGAATGAGTTTCAGCATGACGTTGTGATACATGTACAATTTTAGCGACGTCTGGAGAGCTAGAGTTTTTGGACTGTGAGACCGTGTTTTCCTTCGTCCGGTGGCTTGCTATCAGCATCCGTGATCCGTGTAATGTCTGAGGAGAGCAAGAGTCAGGTACTTAGTCTTTGTATGATATCAATTGTGATGGTAAGGTAACTATCTATTGTGAGTTGGGAACTTGGGCTGGGCTTGGACTTACGATGTGTTTTTGCAGGTATTATCGACAGAGCTTAAACTAGTCATGATGTATTTCTATTTCTAGTATGTTGGCTGATTTCATACCGCTGTAGCGCTCACTTACTGGAAATCTCAGCGTACTTGCACTGAGCTCTCGATTGAGGAAAAGGAGTGTTTGCAACCCCTTCAGGTGGATTCCAACAATGAAGGAGTTTCGATGAAGATGTCAAAGGAGGGCTCGGATGAACTGGTTGGTGGTGTTGTTGTTTCGCTGTTTTTTTTTTCTTTTCCATTTTTACTTTGGTTCAAATTTCAGAGTACTGTTTGGATCATCAAAAAGTTTATATTAGAACATAATTTATCTGATAAATCCTCAACGCATCTTTTTGTCTTTGGAAAAGAAAATTTCCTGATGAATTTCTTTCTTGTCATTTCCGGCATTAAGAACCAGAAGAAAGTTACAGTTGTGAAAGATTTGCAACTTTTACGAGAAAGATTCATTAAGGCGGATGCTGATCATGTGGTGCAGAATTTGATGTCATGCTCGAAGACTTTGGAGGTCTGAATCTTTGTTTTCCTCTTACAGTCTCATTTTATTGTTGAATTGTATTTGTCTCTCCAAACAATTCTTAACTGGTTTTCTATTCTAGGGGACTGAAGATTTTGTTACTTTCTCTATTTTAGTTGAAGAGTGGTGGAAACTGAAGGACCATCTCTTTGGAAAAAATATGTTGAACATTTTCTGGATTCTTTGAAGTATATTTCTTCATTGAAATCAAAACAACTTTTTTCTGTTTAATAATATTCCTGGACAAATTCTCATTTATAAGATATAGTTCACCAATTTATTTTCTTTTTGCTTCATCAGATTTGTGCTTCGAAGCTTGTAACTATGTAAAGTATATAGCTTTGTCATACTTGAAAATGAAATGGAACAACAGTCAGTACAGATTCTTTCTCGTCCATATCTTTTTACTTGGATATGGGGTTCTCTGATCACCAATTTACCACTTTGGCTCACCTAGGGTAAAATTTTTAAAAATTTTCTGATGGAGGCGTGGGCAAGCTTCCGTTTGCAAAATAATGATGCCAAACTTCTATTCAACTAAATATGTCTCATAAATTGATGCTGTAAGGGGTTTGGCTTGAAATTGTTATCACTTATCATATAGATATGTTTCTTTTCATTTGTATTCTACAAAATAGTGTTTAATTGCATAATCACATGGTTAGCTGCAAACAAAATCAACTCGTGAATCATGTATCTTTTTTTTTTCTTTTTTATTTTTGTATAATGGTTAAGATTGTTTAACCAATTTTCCTTTGTGTATAATAATGTTCTTTCAGTTTGAGAATTTTCAACCATTTTTACTTTCAACTTATCATTTTGTGTTTCTGATAAAAGAAAGTATTTTGGCCTATTATCTGTTGGGTTTTGAATGCACCTGGGTTTGTTTCAGGATCTTGAAAAGCAGGAATCTAAATTCCTACATACCTGTAATGCGAAGCGTTATAAATTGCAAGATGAGATTATTGAGCTGGAGGGAAGACTAACAGAAGACCATGATTGCTCAAGTCTCTTAGATAGCTTAGATCATTTGATTAGTGAATCTCAGGAGGAATTGAATTCAGTAAAGAAGGTAAACTTTTTTTTTCTTTTTTTTTTTTTTTTTTGGCTTAAAGCAGTTTTTATTTGTGTTCTTTTTTATGCATGAAAAATTCAAAATCAAGGCTTGAAGCCATTCCTCATGTTATGATTGATAACAATGCAAAAAATTGTCCACCACCCAACATTTCATTGTTGGATCTGCATTATCTGTTTCGCATGAGATTTTGTCAACTCATTGATCAATTTATCTTGGATGTAACTGTGTATTTTGTCTTTTTGTAGGAACTCGCATCTAGATTGAGGGAAACACTAGCATTAAAGAGGCTTCTTGATGATGTGCCAACCCAAACTGAACTCATCCAGTTTGTTGTTCTCTTATTAGCCTTCTGTTTTTCCTTTAAAAATTATTTGGTTTCTCCATTTCATGATTGCATCATCTTCACTTTTTCTTGGTGATAATTGCATCATCTTCACTTCTTCTCAGTGATGGTTTTATTGTCTTCCCTTTTTCTTAGTTATAATTTTGAATTATTTGGCAAGTCCCAGCATAGCTTAGTATAAGGCACTTATTGCCATCAGTTCATGGTTCTAACCCTCACTCCTTGATTGTTGAACTAAAAAGAAAAGTTTGTAGTCCTTGGTGAACTTGGACACTTGCCCAGTTTTCTGCTAGCAGCTGATGTTTTCTTAAAAGTTTTAGCTCCAAAAAGGTAAAAATTAATAAAGTTTTTATGTGAAAATCATGATTGCTTTCATGGCTAAATGGTTATGGCAGTTCTTCCACGAGCCTAATGCCTTGTGGCGAAAGATTACAGTAAGTATGGGCTACATCCGTTTGATTGGGTATCGACAGGTGGGGCTAGAGTAAGCAACTACAATCCCTGGAAGGCTATTACTTTGGGTTTCCCTGTTTTCTCTCATTCTTTACGTGTCTCTGCGGGGAAGGTCTTAATATGTACTTCTGGGAGGATACTTGGATAGGCGACAAACCCTTCTGTCTTGCTTTCCCTCGGATCTACTTTCTATCTGATAAGAAACTCTTTTCAGTGGCCGAGGTTTTAAGTTCTGGAGAAGAGGGTTTGTCCATCTCTTTGGGGCTCACCCGTTCCTTGACTGATTGGGAATCATCAGAGGTTTCCGATTTACTGGATCTGCTGTCTAGAGTTTCCTTATTTGTTGGGAGGGAAGATGTGAGGGTGTGGACCCTCCATCATTCGAAAGGTTTTTCTTGTAGTTCTTTTTTCCATGTCTTGAATTCCTCGTTGTCCTCTTCTTCTTCGCCCTTGTTGACCCCTTGGGTCATCTCTCTTTGGAAGATTAAAATTCCTAAGAAGATTAAGTTCTTTGGGTGGCAAGTCTTACTTGGAAAAGTTAATATTTTGGATCGGATCCAGAGGATGTCCTCCCTTTGTTTGGGTCACAGTGGTGTGTTATGTGTAGGAATGCTTCGGAGGATCTTGAGCATTTGTTGTGGTCTTGTCAGTTCGCACAGGAGATATGACTTTGTTTCTTTAGAAGTTTTGGGATTGTTTGGGCTCGTTCCAGAGATTGTAGGGCGATGATGGAGGAAGTGTTGTTATCCCCCCATTTCTTGATAAAGGGCGTTTTCTTTGGCAAGCGTATTTTCTGGCTACTCTTTGAGGTATTTGGCAGGAGAGAAATAATAGAATTTTTAAGGGAGTGGAGAGATCTGTGGATTATGTGTGGGACCCCATTAACACTTCTCTATGGGGATCAATCACTAAGGCTTTTTGTAATTATCAGTTAGGTGTCATTCTTTTGGATTGGAGCCCGTTTCTTTAGGGGTTTTCTGTTGCTGGGCTTTTTTTGTATGCCCTCTTTTGTAGTTTTTTTTTTCTTTTATCTCAATGAAAGTGCATTTTCTTATCAAAAAAAAAAAACGTGAAAATCATGATTTGAACCCAGGAATTTAAAGACAGATGAGTTTACATCTTGTCTCTTTGACCATTGGGGTAATGGCCATTCCATCACATGCCTTTGTAAGAGCTATGCGTTTTTTTTTCTCTCTCTCTTTTTTTCCCCTATTCTTTTTCCAACACTCATGGATTGCATAATGTTAAAGAAATTAAGTTCTTCATTGCACGTGGTACTGTGGACACATTGTACTCGTTTGTTTATTTATTCCACAACTCTGGCTTTTGAATTTCTAATTGTCTCTTCTATCGACCCAGAGATCTCTGAAATTCTTTTTTCTTCTTTCATGTTCACACGGGCACTTTGAAATACTTCTAAATATTTTGCATTTAGCTGAAAGTCATCCTCTTCTGATTCAATCTCAGTTTGCAGGTATGAGCGCCGTTTTTCTGAGCTATATATTAACATTCAGGTTCAAGAATTTTTATTCATGAATAATTGGTTCTTGTTGATTCTTGTTATTTGTTAAACTTTTTACTGATAACGATATTTTACTCTTAAGCTAACGACGCACTATCATGCAGGATAAACTTAGACAAACACGCAGATACTATGCTACCTATAATGCACATTTGGAGATTAAGGATCTGATGTTAAAGGAGACATCCTTATTGAAGTCCATAAGTTCTCAGGTATATGACAGCTAAAAGGATACACATTGTCATTTGATTCTGTATCTATATGTTAAGAAACTATTTCCACGACTGCTTATGTGATGATGTCTCCAGTAGCAAAGGTATGTGGCATTTTCTTTTGATGAAGGGTGTACTAGGGATAATCCATCTTTCCGCTGCATGTTACTTTCTGTCTTTTTTTAGCTTTCGATTTGTTGCTTGACTTCATGCATATATATATATATTCTTGCCTGGAGATATGGGAGGATATTTAGTCCTGAATCCTTTCATCGTTTGGTAACCTTGTCAAAACTACTGTCATTGACTTGGTTACTATCACCCTCCCGTGCAAACAATCGTGCTCCCACTTTACTCCAGTGTGGGTGTGAGGTTGGTCTTGCATTTACCCATATGCTACTCCCGTTTCATTTTAATTTTGAGTTGTGTGGGGAGTGAGGCGGGAGCTTTAATGTTCAAAACTTTCTGATAGCTTCAGTCTTTGTTATTATTTTCCTGCGCTAATTCATTGGTTTACCTTCACTTATGGCCACGTAGGATATGTATTGCGTTATGTTAGACATGATTACGGTGTATATAACTGAGATGTCATCAATAATTTTGCCTTTCTCTAGGCATTTGATGTCATGTTTAGTGGCTAAGTTAGTAACTCTGTTACTGATGTTCTTTTATAACTTTTGTAGTTTCAAGATGCCATAACCAGCCCCACGAGTCAAATGAAACTTATTGATTCCATGGAGGGAATTCTGAAAGGCATTCTACAGGTCATTGTTTTTAAGATGGTTGAGCTTATGATATAAAAGAATGGTCTGACTTAAATGTTCAACAGCCACGCTACATAGCTTAATAATTCAAAGTGTCGAAAATATTCTCTTCTCTAGTTATTTATTTTGGAAATTTAAGGCAATTACCCCACCCACCCAAGCAAAGAATACCCGCATAATTCAAAGTGTTAATCTGCTCGGGTTGCAGTCTTTTTATTTTGATACTAATGAAAATATTATTAATCTGCAGAAACTAGATAAGGTGGATCTCTCTCGTGAAGCAGAGCAGCAGGCCTGCAATGCTTTGAAAGAGAAATATTCAGCAGCAACTTCAGAACAAAGACGTTGCTACACTCTCTTAAAAGCTTTTCAGGTGAGCAGCGTGGTGTTGTGAATGATATTATAGTTGCTATTTCTATAAGACTAGCTCAGGACTTACACTCTGTACTTTCTTAAAAGGACCGTTCTTAGAAATGGACCCTCCTCCCCGGTGAGTCAGTTTGTTGAATAAGCAGAAACATTTAATTTGGCCGATCAGTTTCAATACATTGAGGTCCCCATAGAAGTATAACCTCTCTGAAACCACTGCTGTCCTTGCTTAATTTCTTCATTTTCCAGGAGGAATGTGTAAAGAACGAGAGGCTTCGGACCGAAAATTCCACATGAAGCGATAATAATCATCACCAATGCATGTGTTATCCTTCATTCAATTGGGTCAATGTTAGAGCCAGATTTTGTGCCAAAGGGGAGAGTAGAAGAGATTGATTAGAGGGCTTTTGTTCCAACCTCGAATTCAGTATGTCAAAATCGTCCTCCTTACCGAGTTCTGATCTGTAATTACATAATAGTGCATGTGTGAGTATTTCCATGGTCCCCCCCCCAATTTTCTCTCATATCTTTTGGATAGGATCAGAAAACGAAGAGCCCTTTTGGACATATCAATACGTAATTTCCCTTTCTGAAGACCAATTGAGGCATCGGCTATCAATTCTCAATGAAAGTGAACTCACAGAATCAGATTGTGGAAATCAAAATGCTTACTGATGGACGATCTCAATCCGACATAGTTGACCTTATTGCCAAAGGTCAGTTAATACTTTTGAACTCTCTCATTTCCCTTTGAAAAATGTTTGTTTTATCGATAACTTCAAACCAATAGATTGAATGTTATTGGTTAATATAATGTGTAGAAGTTTCAACATGTTACTGACTAATTCTTGAAAATGCTTCCTCACATTAGATCATTTATGTTACTTGTATGCATCATCAGTATTTTAATTTCTGGAATTTGAGAAATTAAAATAAGAGGGTCTCAACAATTGAATTTGTTTTCTCCATAGGATTATTAACCAATTAATTTATTTGTGTTATAAGAATGATTAATTGAATTGACTGAATCATAGATATATATAATAATCAAATTTCTAGAAAGCAATTGAATTATTGTATTTGGTTTAAAAATAGAAAATTGAATTCTCAAATGAAAAAGAGAAAAAAAAATGATTTGAAAGAAAGGAAGAAAGAAATACTCAATAATCAACATATTGCAAATTTTTCTCTCCATATGATTGATTAAACTGAAAATATGTTTAGCTAGCCCCCAGAAAAAGAACAATATTTAGAGTGGTCAGCGTCACCGATCATCACTTAAGTATTATTTAAAAAACAACAGGTAAAGATCACCCTTCAAAATTTGACAGTTTTGTTATTTTTTTAGATAGAAAAGTTGTCTTTCATTTCTCTCCTTATTTTATCAAAAAATTTAATAATGACCAGTAAAAAATAGGTGTTAATTGGTTGGTAACTAATTATTATTAAAAAGATAATTTTGGTGTTAGAATGTTAGAATCTTAAAAAATAGTTTTTCTCTATCTAAAGTTTGTAATTATATGTATTAAAGAAATGGAAAACATTAATGATGATAACAACGAATATGAGGGGAGATTTCTAGAATCAATTTTGTCTTTATCTAATTTAATGCTGTCTTACACCAACAAAACTAATTTAGTGGTGAATTAAGGATCTAATATAAATCAAATCTAATGAAAGAAAAATCTCAAAAGCCTAAGCACTCCTAAGTCGTAATCCCAACAAACCAGCAAAAAGCACGAGGCTTGTGAAATAAAATAAGAAAAAAATTTTAGCCTTGATTATTTTAAAATATCTTACAATTTTCAATATTTTGTGGGTATGATTTCATCTGACATCTTTAAATGATAATTAAAATATTCTTTGGCCGACATACATACTTTGGAAGTTCCACTACCTAATTTGGTGGGCTACTGCTTAATTTGACTCTTATTTACAATAATAAATTAATTATAAAAAAAGGATATGTTTTGTCAATGTCTGATATTTACTAAATGAACAGCTAAAAATGTGATTCAAATTTCTCTCTTTTTGGTTCCTAATTTAGGACACAAAAGTAACAGTAATTCCAAGAGTAAAATCAACTTCATTATCACTTTTCTGTCAATTTTGAATGTTCAATCTCTCTTTTTTTCTCCAATATTTTCCTTAAAAGAATTACTCAATTTTATGAAACAAAAAATTAAAACATTTATATTTTGTAAAAGCAGTATTTTATCTTTTTGTAACCCTGTAGTCTCCTTCTTTTGAAATTAGGTCCTACGAACTATATTTGACCTTTGATTTTGAACATCCGGTACACAAGAGATGTATTTATTTGATTGTTAATGAATCTTCTATCAAATCAAACATAGTTCAACGGTAATTGACATATATATTCGAAGTTGAATTCGAATCCCCACCATGTTATATTAAAAAATAAAAAATAATCCTCTACTTAATGGATAGGGGCTATTGTCATTTGGGCGCAGAGCGATGAGAGGAGAGGGTGCCCCGTCTTAGTTCATCTTAGACTAAAGAAAAGTATATTTTTTAAAAATTATGGTTTTATCTTTTCTTCTCTTTATATTTTTCAAAGTTGAAAGATTAAATGTACAATAGGCTAGATGGTCAAATTTTACTCCTTTCTATTGAAGATTAAAGGTGTGTTTGGCGTGATCTTGGCATGACCAAAATCAGTTTTGTTATTGTCAAAATCACTCTAATTTCCATTCATCATATTTGACAAATTAAAAAATTGATTTTAAAAAGTTTAAAATAATTTTAGTCAAAATTGCTTTTTAAGGTATGACTTGGATGCTGATTTTGAAAAATCAATTATACTTAATCTTTTTTTTTTTCAAATTTACTCATTCTACTATCACTCTCGAACACACCCTAAATCTTTGTCAATTCTATTGGTAGAAAACGCTGCATAAACTAATGATGATTGTCGTGGATGTTGCTTTGGACGTGTGTACAATGTCTTTCTCGATTCCTATCCATATGCAAGAAATTTTGACTGAATGAATAGAGAGAATCAATTTGCAGACATTTTAGTTGAGTAAGAGAATCTGAGATGAACACTTTTTTTATTTCTTCAAAAAATTGTACTCTCTCATGAATATAGTGTTTGAAAAATGCAAATAATTGGACAGAGAATAGACAAATATTGTTGAAGAAAATCCTCATTGGTCAGACATTGAGTGATTTCCTTTGGACATATATTATACAGAGATTCCTCTCATCTCTTACAATTTTCAATTAATGCACTCACTCATCCACACCTACAACTTTTTATTTTTCCCGAGTCAGTTTTTTGCATGTACACTGATTAATCTCACGGGACATTAAATTTAATCTTACTATATTTAGTTATTGTTAAGAAAACTCATAGCTAGGATGTTAGATCTTAGGTAGATGACCACCAAAGCTTGAACTCGTTTCCTCTATAAATTTTTTTAGAATTTTTACCTCCTCTATGCAGTCTAATATATATCTATAAACATATTGGTTAAATTATAAGTTTTGTCTTTGAATTTTATTATGGTTATATGTCTAATATATCCATGAACTTTATAAAATGTCTAATTTCAGGTCTCAAATATTTTTTATATTGTGTTTAATAGATTTTGAAAATTTAAAAAATGTCAAGTAGTAGGTCGATTCACTCTCAATTTTGTGCTAATAATAGGTTCCTTAATTTGTATCAATAAATAGTGACTTTTCTAGTTTGTGTATAATTGGTCATTCCTTAATTTTTCTTTTTGGACATATTAGACAAGAGATTGAAAGTTCATATTTTTAAAGTTAAGATATTAATTATACACCACATTTAAAATTTAGGATCTATTAACGGAAAATATAAATTTGAAAACAAATGATTCAATGAAAAATAGGATTTTATTATTTGTTTTTAGTGGTTTTAGATATATATGTATTTGGTAGCATATTTGACGTAATTGAATCCCAATTTAAAAAAGTGTTCAACACGTATTTAGCAATATATTTGTAAACTAGTTGTAGTTACTAACTAAATATTCAGCTTACTCTATAATAATATTAATTAATTTATCAACATTTTTGTTATGAATTTTGTATAATTATTATTTTACAACGTTATATAATTTATAATATATTATATTTTACATGTTTTAATTTTAACAAAAATAAACTAAATTTATAACATAAAATAATATATTTATCAAAGTTTTTATATATTTTTAATGTAATTGCATCTTAAAATTTCAAATTCAAAATCTCAAAACACTAAAAACATAAAAATGGTTCTGAATCGAAAAACAGTTTTCAAAAATAAATGTGTGAAACCTACGCATATCCACTTATCCATATGATAATTAAGTGAATCTGAGAACAATAAAACATAATTTCTAAGTTGGCCTCATATCCTAATTAATAATTTGACCACCTCCACATATTTCTTTTAACTTTTCAAATCACTCAAAATGACGAAGATATATTCACAAACCCATATATATTTAGTCGAACTATTTTATTTCCCAAGCTTTTAACTCTGTGATCAGACAAAATATAACAATCATACATTAAGTAAAACCCACTAAAATCAATTAGAGCGGTCCAGTAGATTAAAACATATGTATTCAACCATGAGATTGAGAGTTCAGATTCTCAACCCCACATATTGTACTTTAAAAAAAAGTAAAACCCATCAAAATATTTAAGTAATTATTTGAAAATTAGGGTTTGAAAGATCAGATTTTGATGGTAGAAAGTCCCCTCCCCATGTTCTTAGCCTTCATGCTGAAATATTCTCTCACTTTCACGCAGCGATAGAGAGGAGTCTGTGGAGATTCACTCAATGGGTTACAATGAGGAGAAATGTATAATTCATTTGGTGGATAATAGAAATATGCCATTGACAACCTATGCTCCTTCCCTTGAATCACCACCCGGTGAAGAATGCTCCGAAACCGCCCGTTTGATAGAATGTGCAGGAGGTCCCCGATGTTCACGACGAGGGTTCCGCTCATCGGAGAGAGCGGAATCCAACCGACTTCGTCTTTGAAGACCTGGAGGCCGTCGATGCGAGCCTGGTGAAGAATGGTGAAGAGGGAGGTGTCGGTGTGGGCGGCGAGGCCCATGACTTGGCTCGGGTCGGGGCACGGTGGATATGAGTTCAGGCGGAGGGCAGTGTAGAGCTGGCCGACGTCATTGCTTGACGGGGATAGCTTCTCGATCACTTGTTCAGAGATGTCAAGAAACTTGAACACCAACCTTATTATCTTGTCCGCTAAAGCCCTCATTTGAATTTGATACTCTTCCATTACATCACTATAAGCAAGAAAGTAACAAACAATGATTAAGTAGAAAATTTTCCTTATTTAATTTCTAAAATCAAATTGTTGCTTTTGAGTTCTTGTGATTGGTTTTCAATTGGGTTAATAGTTTGAAATGTTTTATTATATAGTCCCAGATAGTTTAATTAAATCTCCTTAGAAAATTGGAAAAATGGGGCAGATTTCCAATTAAAGAGAAAATATTGGATTGGGTTAAAACACATTTAAAAAAACCCCTAATCTCTTTTGAATCTATTATTTTTCGCTACGTGTCCGAAAAAGAAGATATATTTAATGAAAACATAAGGATTATAATGAAACTTTCAAAACTATAAAAACCAAATCAAAATCAAATTTGATGAAAATTTAAGAATAATTTTGATCGCATATATATGGTGCGATAAACCCTAATTTCCCTACTTCCATGGATTTACCAAAAATGTTTGTATTCAGATGGCCAAAGCTTCTTGGCATCATCAACCGGAGAACCCAAGATGGTGAATCCTTCATGCCACATATACTTCTGATAATACTTCGATATTACGGCCATGCCGTAGCCGGTGACGCTGTCAGAGGAGTATAACGCCATCATCTTTTGTCTCGTCGGAAGATCGAAAAGGCGTCGAGCCTCTTTCTCAGCTTCCGCTATTAGGGTTTCGGGCACGCCATGGTTAGTCAACTGGAACATTCCCCATTGCTCGCAGGCCCTCCCTATGAGCTCCGATGCGTTATCATCGACAAGATCAATCAAAGGGATCGTAACCTTTTCGTCTGTCGACGATAACCCATTCGAGTCTGGCCACGAGTGAGATTCAGGGACGGTTTCAACCGAGTCGAAGTCTAGAGGAACAACATGGCTTGGGGGAGGAAGCTCTTGATCTGCCATTGAGCTAGCTAGCTGCATAAATTTTGAGACAACTAATATGGAACTAATAAACTTCCTCGAACAAATTTAACCCCAAGAAAAACAAAAAACAAAAAACGAAACATGAGAAATGGCCTCGATTCATCTTATATTAAAAAAAGAATTATATAACAAGTTAAGATTTTAAATTCTTCTCTTCAAAGTTATAACATAATACAAAATTTCGCCTTTTTATGAAAATTTCTAGCTTCACCCCTATTCAAGATGAACGAGAATAGATAGCAACGTTTGAAAGATACAACACATGAAAAAGGAGATAATATTTCAGAAAGTCATCACTGAAATTTCAATGACTGAGAAATACTAACAGTTTTTGATTTGTAGAGATGAAAATTGGTAGCTTCTTCTTTTTTCCTCCTTTTCTTCTGTTTTGAAAATTAATGTTAAGATGAGTTTATAAAGTGATAAAAGAATTAGCAATGGAGGAGCTAATTATGGCAGCCCACCATAAATGGAAGGATTGCTTTTTATTTATAAATGGAAGGATTGCTTTTTTTTGCTAAGAAACAGTGCATGTATGGGAATTACAAACTAGGAGAGATCTAGAGGAGATTAATTTTTAGTGCATAATAAGAAGGAAATTTGATAATTAAGAATGGGGGGCTGTTTTGGGAAAGTTTAGGTATTTTTTGTACATCACATTTCCTCTTGGGGTTGGATTTGTTTTTGGTGTCATTTTTATTGTATTCTTCTTAAGATGGGATTAGATTTTTTGTATTGTGATTATGTATGTATGGGAGGTTGTCTTATATTAGAGGTTGAAATATTATTTTAGTCCGTCTACTTTTCTTGGCTTTGGTTTATTAGATCATGGTGTTCTTAATTTTGTTCATTTTTAGTTTCTTTATTTTCAAAATGTTTTTTTGATCATTAATGGTTCGTTTGATAACGTTCATGTTTCTTGTTTATGTTTGTTCATTTCTAATAAAGAAAAATGAATTGTATGGTCGCAACATCCATAAATTCAAGTATGAATAAAACAATCTTTTTAAAATTTCTATAGAATTTTGAGAATGTTCCCAGAAGAAACAAGAAACATAGTTAGTTGCAAAATGCTAAGATTTCTTAAAACAAATTGGAAAAAAAAGGGAATGTTACTAATTTTAATCTCATTTGGATCTTTCAATCACAATTTTAGCTAGACACTTCACTCACATAAATTTTTTGAAATGCAGTTATAAAGCTGTATTAGAAGATCTTCATTGTGTATTAAATTTGTGTTATAATTTTACAAATAAAGACAAAGAATGGTAACTTTTCAAGAGTACAAGGATCCACATAGACATTTTGAAAGTATATAAAGACTAAATATAGATAAAAATTGAAAGTATAAGATCAAAATAAACATTTAAAAAATACAACTAAAACAACGTTCCAAAATAGCATTCAAACTTGTATTATAATCTAGTTTATATGTATGTACGTTCACGCAGACATGGGGCTAGCGCCTATAACTACTGTGTGCTAAAGAGATTTTGAAAATTATTCTGAATTTGTATATACATATATTCTTATTTCAAAAAGTTCAGGAGGGGCTCGAGTCCGCTCGCATGTGGTTTTTCTACGTCTTTGGACGGGTAGGTGAGAGGATGGAGGATTGAACTTCCGTCATTTAGAGAATAAGCAATGTCTCTTAATCGCGAACTAAATCTAAGTCGGCAACTTTTCATGGATATTAATTTGTGGTTTATAGTTATATATTAATTGTGATTTTCGGATGATGCGTTTTAATGGCAAAGATCAGACTAGATGGTTATTCAGAGACAAATTTTAAAAATATTAGAGAATTATTTGTTAAGAAAAAAGGGATTTTGTGATAAATGTGGAATAAATTAAAAGTTCTAAAATATTTAATCAAAAGTAGCCATGGAATATGTTTCGATGATATATTTTTAAATTCGAAGAAATAAGCAATATACTATTATATAAAATATTATTAAAATTTTCATTTTCATTTATGATCCATAAAGGCCATCAAATATGGAATACCACTGATCTCTCTCCTTAAACACACACACAACGACAACATATATATTTATCACTTTCTAAACAAAAGTTTATTGCTATTTAAAATAATTCTTATGGTATATAATTTATTATACTATAATTGAAGCTACCAACTTGAATCTGAGTTAACTGAAGATTCAAATATTCGTCCGATATTTTTTATTCTACTCAACTTATACGTGGGTCAAGATTCAAACTTTCGATTTTTTGGTAGATGATATATATCCTAACCAAGATTTTAAATGTCGATGTCGATAAAAATGGTTAGGTCTCAATTTCGCGAAAATATCGATAAAATGTCGACATCGATGGATATTCTTATAAAAGTTATATAAATTAAAAAAATGGTAAACAAAATTTAAACTAACAAATAAACATTTTTCTATTTCTAAATTAGTTAAAAAATAATTAATATTAATATTATGTATATATTAGTGATATTTTGTTGATATTTTTCACATTTTGTCGATTTTTTTGTAATATGATAGAAATGTTTTGATTTACCCATCATGTCAATGTTAAATCTATAAATATATATGGAAATGTCGATGAAAATGTCAACGTGTGACAAATATTTAATACCATGATTCTAACCAAGTTCTGTAGATTTTTGAACCAAAATGATAGAAAATAGAAATAGTACTATGCTAATTTTGAATGTATTTTAAAAAATAGGGAACATATATTACAGTTTACATCCTTTTGGATTAAATTCTGAGTATATATCCAATGATCACAAACACGAAAGAAAATTAAAACATTTATCATATTCTTTTATGAAACAATAAGAAAAATATGCATCTTTTAACTTCTTATAATTTTATTAAAACCTCCGTAAAAAAAATTATTAAAACTTTTATAGTATTATTTGCCTTCTAGAAGATGGACAATATAAAACACTACCAATTTTTGCTTATGTTCTCAAATATTGGCCCTTAAATCAAAATTATTTTTTCCTCATTCATTATTTTATTCTTCATATTTCTCTTTCAAATTTAAATCTAAACTAAAATTCTACTCTTTTCCTTTTTACAAATAAAATATAGGAAGAAGGATTCCAAATACGATTTTCTCTAGATGACTTTTCRATCTAACTTAATTATTTAAATATCTCTCTTATCTTTTATTGGTCATCAACTTAAATGGTAGAACAATGACAGAAAATTCAAATTCATTATAGCATAAACTTTCCTTTTCTCCAAAAATGGAATATAAAACCCACTAATGAAAAATTCTGGTTAAAAAAATTAAAAAATGGAGACCTAAAAAAAACATTAGTAAAAATACAAAGATATATTTTAAAATAATAATAGTGAAAGAAAGAGAAAAAAAAAATTAAAAAACTATGCTAAATGCTGATGAAGAATAAGACAAAATGGGTGAGAGAGAGATAATTATTATTTTATATATATGGGAGGGTACCATTATGGTGACAACATTAATGATAGTTAATTATTTGTGTGGAACTTGTTACATTTGTCACGCTCTCTTAAACACTAACATTATTTAATTCATTAATTTAGTGGTCAATTTAGGATCTCCTATTATTATTGTCAAAGATTTTAATAATTGCGCACATATATATATATATATATATATATATATATATATATATTCCCAACACACACATGGCCATTATAATTAAGAAGAGTAGAGAGGATGAGGACTTGATCCCATAGACTTTTAGTCAAATATAGGTGTSTTAACCTTATAAGTTAGGTTCAAGTAGATAATTAATTAAGAATTAATTTTAATATATTACAACAGTTAATTAAGATATGTTCTGCTAAAAAAACAGTTAATTAAGATATTAGGTACTCCCTTTGCAATTTTAAATCCTTGCTCTCAAATTTGTAATACTATATCTTAAACGAAAAAAATCATAATTATTAATTTTAAAAGTAAAAATCAAATTTAACCTTTTATATATTTTTTTTATCTTTTAAATCATTTTAATTATCACAAAATATTAAAATTTATTGACAAAATAATAATGTAATAGATATTGAAAATCAAAATGCTTTTTATTAATTGAGTTGGAAATATCCTACGCACTTAATAAAAAATATATCCACCTCATTCGTTGTTATATAGCAAATGTAATTAAAAATTTCTATTGCACTATCTATAGGGTCAATCGACTCCTTTGAACTTAAAAAGAAAAAAAATCAATTAGGTATRCCTAAACTTTTGATTTTAATATCAATTTAAGCGATAGTTAAACTAATTTAAACACCTATCTTCGATTAATAGATCGTGAAAGTTAAATAATGTGTATCATGTCACTATTATGATATTTTAAGTCAACAATATTAATTATTGTGCGGACTTTGTTAGAACCAAAATCGAGACTTGAATTCAAATTCAAGGTTTTGAAAAACTAAATAAAACATGATTGCTAAAATCCAAAATTAAATTTATAATATATCTAATATTTTTAATAAAAAAATTAAGGTGGCCAACAAGGACCATAACTCAATCGGTTAAAATATTTATTTTCAACTAAAAAGATTGTGAATTGGCTAACTTGAAGCATAGAACTCAACTTGTTAAGACACACGATCAAAACTAAAAATAAAAAAGAAAATTACAACAGCCACCATTTTATATATTTGGACGTTACAACATTTGTGAAACTAAAAAAGAAAATAACAGATTCAAGAACTCGAAAAAAAAAAACCTTCTATGTATACAAACAAAATATATATGATCAAATTATTATTACTATTACAATAATAAAATTTAAACTCAAATTTTAAACCTAATTCATATTTTGATCATAGAGAGCGCATTGTCGAGATTCTTGGCCTTCAACCGGACGTAGTCCTTCACCACCACCGGCCGGTACTGCGGCGGATCCTTCAACGATTTACAGTACGGAAAAACACAGAATTCCGGCGGCGGCCCGTAGAAATACGCCAGAGACAACCGGCGGCGGGTCGGGTCGACGACGACCCGGTGGAGAACATTCGGGAACATCCCGTTGGACAGGATGTGGAAGAGGTCGCCGACGTTGACCACGAGTGCACCGGCGACCGGCGCCACCGGTACCCAGCCGACGCCGTCCTTGAAGATCTGGAGGCCGCACGTGCGGTTCTGGTGGAGGATCGTCAACAGGAACGTGTCGGTGTGCGGGGCCAGGCCCATGACTCGGGTCGGGTCGGGGCACGGCGGGTAGCAGTTCAGTTGCAGGGCGGTGCTGCTGGCGGAGGATTCGCCGGCGCCGGCGGAATGGAGCCACGTCATGGTTCCGGCGTCGTGAATTTTCAGGAAGTTGAAGATTAGATTTATAATTCGCTCCGATAAGGCCTTCATTTTTGTCTGATATTCTTCCATGACATCGCTAAAAACAAAGAAGATTAATTAATGTAAATTAATTTGTTTTTAATTAACGATTAGTTAATTAGGTGCTTACGTGTATTAATTAATGATTAAGGGAGAAACACAGTTTAATATAAAGGGAAAATATAATCTTATTATTTTTACTTATAATTACACTTCAATGTTGTTGCAAGGTTCAAGTGGGTTGGTTGGAGATTTTAAAAAAAAAATTGTACTGAAATATTAAAATTTACAAAAATAAAATAAAAACCGAACTTTTTTTAGAAAGAAATTAAAACCAAATTAACCAAACATATTAGCGAAAAATAAAAATAAAAATTGATATGTTTATGTCGTGTTAAAAGATCAGTACATTTAAATATAATATAAAATTTAAGAATATGATAAAAAAAAACAAATTTTATAGACTAACTAACCACAACACTCAAAATTTATAAACTAAATTTATAATTTAATCCAAAATGTTTTAAAGCGTACGTAACTTAATTTGAAAGTCTGCTTTCTACCTCCTTCCTATGTAATCACTCTTTATTAGTTTGTTTATATATTTTTAATAAACAAGTTGATCTCATCAATATTTTTTTAAAAAGTATATATTTTTTTTATCCCTCAATAATCTATTCAGCTATAGATTTATGTATTCTCTCTACGTTTTAAAACCATACATTTTTGCTCCTTAATTTTAGAAATAGATTTAAATAAAGTACCTCTTCTAACATATATGCAAATCTAAGTTAATAAGATGTCATTGTGTAACGCCATCGAACAGATAAACATCGTTATCTTAAAACAACGTTGCGATGTTCTTCAATCTGATTGCGTTACACAATAATTTTTTTTCCTGATAACACCACGGTAGGATTTGAAATCACATTATTAATCCTCTCATCGCACTACACCAAGACCAATTGGTAATATGATCACATTATGATCATCGCAATCTTGATTTCAAGTATAATTAACGAGATAGAATCTAATATCATAGTGTTCATTCTCATATCGATACTACGATATAAAACTCTATCACAGTATAATAGACACCCAATAACCCTATCGATCCAATGACCTAACTGTTTCCACAAGTTTGTTCAATCGTATGAATCAATTCATACTCAGAATGTGTCGAAAATGACTTTTATTTATTATTAGGAAAAAAGAATAATAGATYGATTCCTATTTTAAAGCTCGATCATCTTTTAATTACCAGATGATCTGTCGATGTACCATTTAAATTTTATTATTATTATTTATGAAAGCTCACGAGAGCCAAACAAACCTATGACTCAATAAACTCATGACCAAAAGGTACTTTTTTTTTTTGCTTTTTTTGGTACTTTTTTTTTCCTTTTTTATCTCATCGATGTGAAAAGTTGCTCATATGTATATGTATAAGTTTGCTATAAAAGCACAATAAAAACAAAGCCACAAAAAAAAGAAAAAAAAATAGAAGAATTTACGTGTATGAAAATGCATGGAGAGAATTACCAGAATGGTTTGTAGTTTGAAGGCCAAAGTTGTGAAGCATGGTCAACCGGAGGCCCCATAATAGTAAATCCCTCATGCCACATATACTTAGAGAAGAACGGCGTTATTCTAGGCAACCCATACCCGGCTGCGCCGTCCGGAGCCCGCAGCGCCTTCAGCTTCCGTCTCATCGGGAGATTGAACAGCCGCCCCGCCTCGCCCTCGGCTCTCTCCATCAGGCTCATCGGCACGCCATGGTTCGTCAAGTGGAACACTCCCCAGGTCTCGCACGCATTGCCAATCAACACACCTGCATCGGGGTCTGCTAGATCGATGGTGGGAATCGAAACATCTCCATTCGTACGAAGCCCATGAGAAGAAGAGGCCGACCGAGGCCATTCATGGGAGTCAGGGACGGCCCGAAACGAAGCGAAGTCGAGAGGGACGATGTGCTGGAGATGCAGAGGGTGGTCTCGATAGGTTTCAGAGAGAGTGGTCATTGTATTTGTTTTGGAAGGCAGAAAGAAATGTAAGGGGGTTTTTAAAAAGTTTTTAATTTTGAGAGACAGAAAAGGAGATGAAGATTAGGTTAAAAATGGTGGCAAATTTTGGACAAAGTGGTGTCTGTTTTAATGGAGAAATTGGATATGAGGCTGAAGAAAGGGACAAAACACAGAAGCAAACAAATTAAAGGCAAACAAATGGGGGTTGTGGTGTGGCAATTTCAATGCAATGACTCAGAAATACCAAACAAAATTTTCTTTTCTTTTAATCATGAATGAACAAAGGGCTTGTTTCTGTGCACATTTTGTCCACAAGCAAAGAAAATGACATTTATTTATTTATTTTTATTTAAATTAATTGGAGATATTTGGATGGAAGAATAGTCATATCATTTGAAAATGCAAAAGCCAAAAAGAAAAAAAAATGGAAAAACTTTTTTAGTTCAATTTCATATTAAACTACTCAACCCTCGTGTTTTTCATATAATTATTTGAAAATGTGGGATTTTTCTTTTCCTTTTTTTCTTTTCTCCCACATGGTATTAAGAAATGGAAAACCATGTGGTTTATTTAGTGGAAAGTAGGAACCAACTTCATTACTAAATATTAACCATTGTACAAATTTCGAATTTGAAACTTTGAGACACATTAACAAATCAACGAAAAAGATTTTTAATAGTATACCCAATAAAATTCCATTTAATTCAATGAGGTATATATTGACAATATACTAAATAGATTAAACAGCTTAAATTTTTCCATCTATTTTATATAAGATAATCTTAGCAAGTGAATATGCTCGATTAAGGGTGACAATGAATAATGGACAGGCATACCGAGATGTCGGATGCTACTAAAAAGGGTCGGAGAGAATGACACCCACAATCAAATGCAAAGATATGTCTGGAGAAATGGGTGTAGATGAACAGCAAAATAGAAAATGAGAGATGAGGAAATTTTTGGATAGAAATTAAATTAGGGAGATACAATTTTGTTGGTGGGCATTCAAAGTTGACTCTAGTACGTTAAATTTTTTGTCTCTTAGCCATTGGAAATGAGTCCAAAAAATGTAGGAATTTTTTTTTTTTAATTTTTTTCCCTCTTAGGACCAATCAAATGGTAGACTCATGGGATGTATGCCATTGCCAAAAGTCAATGAATCCCATTATTACCATATCTATTATTTTTTTGTCTATTTTGTAATGGAGAATATCACCCAACTATCAACAGTACTTGATCATCTTATATTTTCTCTTGAAAGTTTATATATGTGTGTGGTTTTGGGATATATTCTTTTAGATGTTTTTTTGGGTTAGAAGATACTTTTGTTTCCTCTTTATCATTTAATTGTAATAACATTTTATCCTTTTGAAAAGAGATAAGAGCGGGTGAATTAGAAAAGTTAATTAGGAATTAAATATACTTTTTTATGGAATATATGTATCAATATTCATGGGTCGTCATACCTTTCATCTCACTTCCAATTTTTGTCTGTTAGGAGTGGGACTTCTACTTCTTCAACGTATATGGTCTTTCCCGAGTGTTTTATTGTTTAGTATAATTATGATTAGTAATTATATCTATCAATATGTATGTTCTTGGATTATCAATAATGACTTTTCTTTTTCAAATTTGTAATAATTCATTCCTTGAACTTTAGTATATAACAATTTAGTTTATGTAGTTTAAAGTTTGTAACGATTTAGCATCTATCGTTAAAAAATATTGTTAAGATTTAATGGATTCCTTCATATGATCAACAAACTTACGAGGAACAAAGTGTGTTTATAAATTACAAAAACTAAATTGTTACCTAATAAAAATTAACACTTAATTTTAATGACATTTTTTATGATAGAAACTAAATTGGTACAAATTTTAAACTACGGAGACTATAAATTGTATATACTAAAGTTGAGGGACTAAACTATTATCGATTTAACAGTACATGCACTAAATTATTACAAACGAAAGGTTAAAGACATAACGCTATGTCCAAAGCGGACAATATCATACCATTGTGGAGATGCACTAAATTATTAGGGGTCGATCATGATTTGGACTATGATTGATTCAGATATTCTTGATTTATCAAATTTTGAAAAGAAATGAATTACTGTGAACTCCACTAGGATAATATGACTTGGGTATTTTTATAATGTTTGTAATAAAATAGCTACTCCCACTTTTAAGATTTTTTGTAGGTATTGAACAAGAAGAGAAGATCCAACAATTTAGTCAATCCATATCTAAGTCTTATTTTTTTTACTTTTTTGAAAAATATATAATGTCTTAGTCAATCATTGATGTATATAAATCAATTGACTACCATATAAAATAAAATAAAAACATTTTGATTATCAATACCAAAAGTAATCAAGATTAATATAACTTTTAAAAATGTTATATTTGCTATATGTATAATTATATTTTTAAAACATTTCAAAAAATATATATAATATTTAAATAAAAGTACATATATTTCATTCAAATTTCCCTAAGCCAAACCGCAACCTGGGCTATAAAGCCCATTTTGTTTTTGGGCTGGCTGATCAGAAAAGCCTACAGAAAACTGGGCTGGAGTCCACATAGTCAGGAACGGCCCAGTCATTTCCAGCCCATAGGATAGACTCTTGTGTCCAAGCAAATCCAGTCTAGTAATTCAAAGGGAAATTACATTCCATGTCCCTAATTATACGGTAGATTTGGAAAATAGAACAATACTTATATGCACGCCGTCGACACTCATTTTTATGCTAAAAATTTGACGAAAAATATAAAATATATCGCTTTTTCAGCCTTTCTTTTATTTATCAAAAATTTAATGGTTCTTTTATTTATCAAAAATTTAATGGTGATAAGTAAATGACAGTAGTTTTTCTCGAGAGAACAAAGATCACCAATTATTAATGAAGTTCCCTTCCTGAACAAATTATTAGTTAATGTTCCTGAGATATTAATTTTAAATATTTTTTAAAATTACTAATTAAAGATGAGAAAAAATTGAGTACAATAAACGTGGAAATAGATCATTGAACTTCCAATTTCTAGGAAATGAACCAGATAACTTAACCACTAAGATATATTTATTCGACTAACTTAACCACTATGAGCAAACCCACAAATAAAACACATACTCGACTTCGACTTCTTAACCGTATGTTATAGGAAGACTAACCCGAGTTACGCCCCTTAATTCATTACTAGAAAACTAATGGAAATAATCACACTATAATTAGTTATATAAGCTAATTAGAACATTTTATCCAATAGCAAGTTCCATATAAAGAGAAGGGGATTAATTTCCATTGCTCATCAAGCTAAACCATTCATATAATCTGGAATCCCATCCATAATCTCTCCACATTCCCATCAACAAGAAAATTGCAACCCCCCCAAGATCAAAAGGTAAGAAAATACAATAAAAATCGAAGCTAAATAGTACCGAAACGAGGGCGGGCGCCACGACAATTCCTTAAAACATCCGCTGCATTTGTTTTGAGTTGAGGAACTAATCTTACAGCTCTCTCTTCTTCTCCATACTGGAATCTCCTCCCTGAACTTGGTCTCTACCATGAGGAGCTCCTCCTGTTTATTTGGCCACAAGAACAAAAATACGTCATACAACAGTTCGATTTACCGAAATAAGTCGGTTTCCATCTCGTTTAGGATGGATGCACCCACCTGCTAATGTTGAGACTCTCTCGACAGAGCCAGCTACAGGAGCGGAACTCCCAGCAACACAGAGCTTCCCACGAGCTTCTTTTGCGAATGGCGAGGTAGTATTACTTGTCATACCGATATCGAGTTCTCCGCCTGGAATCTGGTTCTCGTTAACTGGCCTAGCAGATGGCTTTGTTGCATAGCTAGTCGACCACGACCCGCCGTTCGATCCAGCTAAGGCCATTATGACATCTGCCTGAAATGCAATGAATAGTTTGTAATATAGTTTCAAAGATCACATCATCTAAAATATGACATTCATCTCAATTATAAACATAATCCTGATAAACTTATTATTCTTAGCAGCAGATGTAAAAAGATTCATGCTATCTGTCAATCTGTCAAGAATCAGACAAGTCATATAAAAGGGAAAAAGATATTCGCAGATAAGTAACATCCAATATCAGTTCTCGATCCCGGGCCAATATTTTCTTTCTCATTCATGATAACGCGCTATCCTTCAAACGTATGGGATCTATGGAGTTTTCAAGCAGTTTGCAGGAATTGCACAGGTTTTGTCGAGAAAAAAAACATCGAAAAGAAGATGTTGTTGCATGGCATTGCAGTTTTCGGCTTAAGATACTGCTTGAAATCAAGCTACAGAAAATCAAGCAACAAGAGTTTTCAAATGAGTGAAAACTCTAACTGGATTAATATAAAGGAATGTGGCAAGGCATCCCAAGATTCCGTGGCACACCATTAGCGGTGAGCCACATGACAAATTATCGGTGCCGAGGTAACATGCACGAGACAAGTTTCAAGGGAACTGTACAAACAACAGTCGATCTTTTCCTACCAAGTTAAACCAACCCAGAAGCTTACAGTTGACATAATTTGGTACTATGGCATATCAGAAATCATAAGTTTGGCATTCAAAATGCAACTGCGAGAATGCATTATGATTATGAAGCTACTGAGCTTCTATATCGTGTGAAATGCGACCAATGATAATATTGAGTTTAGCTATTACTATGAAGTACTTGCCACTATCACTTTGGATACAAACATGAGTTCAAAACCATATAATTAGCACATGAACCTTGTTTGGATGAACATCATCAAAGACATGAGCTTGACCGCCGTAAAATATCGTCATCTGCCGATTAGCAGATGCAAGACCACGTCGACTGCCATGACAAGTCAACAAGAATAAGTAGCACAAACAGTTACATTTTTTCCAAAGCTATCTGATAGGAAATGTGATAAAGAAACTAGAATTAACTATCAATGCAGGCTTTACCTCGAAGGAATTGAAGGTTCGTGCTCTACAACATTAGTCGTGGACTTTTGCAGGCTGCAACTCGGGAGCAGGATCGATGAGTTTCTCTCAGAACCGGGATTACTCGAACTCAAGATCCCAGGACCTTTGATACCAGTTCGAGATCCCTCGTCTGCAGCAGACTGAGATATATTTGGAGGAACAAGATTGACATCTCTGAATCTGTTTGTTGGTAACTGAGGGGGGAAAGGTACGAATGTCCCACGCGGAGAGTACTGTACTGTTGGAGCAGGACCAATGTTCATAAGAGTCGATCTCTCCCACTTGGTAACATCGGTATCGAGTCTACTACCACTTCCAATATGAGGTTGAAAAATAATCGATGCAGAACTTGGCCTCATTGGCTGCTGCATCCCAAGTGTTACTTCATCGTCGTTAGATCTTCGGTTTCGCTCCCCGCCTGCTCCATTTCGTAATGTCTGGGTTAAAACACAACAATATCACTAAATAGGGGGTGCAGCTAAAGTAGTTTTTCTTTCAGCTAAAAGCCACATGAATTGAAACCTTCATCAGATGCAAGCTATGATGCGACTCGGAAGGCATGTGTGGAACTCCATCTCTATACGACCCCATAAAAGTAGAATCCGATATGCTTCTTTTACTCCCTATGATCCTACTATGAATCTCTGCCGTAGAGATATCGCCCCTCGAACCGTAAAACGGAACACCTTCAAGATGACTTCCTACCTGTCGGTCTACACATACCGATGAGAAATGGGATGAAACTTCACATTCATATATCCAATTCCAAGTCAATAAAACATACAAACTCAAACCAAGGTTTTTAAATGTTGGAAAAAGTCCAGGTCAATCCATCTCCAAACTTAAATGTCAATGCCCGTTCTTTGGGTTAAGTTTACAATAAATATCTCATTCAATGTCAAACATTCAGGCATGTAAGAGAAAATGCACAAACAAAGATCACAAAATGCTAAATCAGACTAATAGAATAGCTTGAAAAAGAAAGAAAAAAAAGTCTCAAAAACGAGTGAAAAAAAGTCCTTTCACTCAGCACATCAAAGCTACTAACTCCATCACTGACCTCAATGAAGCAAACCC